CGTTGATTCTTAATGTACTGATTTTGCAGATATGCCCATATCTGAAATACAGTATCAAGGCCGCATGTTTTAGGACATTCTTGGTCAGCATTCAAAAAATAAAGGTCCAAACATGCTGATTCATCTTAACCCATTCTAGTTTCCGCATAGATTCTGCACTAGACGCCATCAAAATGACATCTGACCAATCTTTCTCATAGATAATAATCCTCAATCACAATTTTCCAGAAGAAGTAGTTATCGTCACCTACTAACTTTTTAATTGTTGCTATTTCCGAGTAACCATATTCGATATTAATACTTGCTCTTCGTTTTTCTGCCTCTTAATCTTAACACGATTATTCTAATCAATTCGATCACGACTATTTTAACCAACTTGATCGCAAATATCATAATAGTTTTACACACGTCTTATCTTATAGGCAGTGGAAGAGTTTTATAAACAGTAAGTTCCTATTTTATAATTTTTTATATTTTTTCTCTACAGTTTATCTGTCTTCCTTTTTCTCTAATATTAGGTCAATCAGAAAGTTCTGTCCGTTTTTTTGCAAAAAGTATGGTTTAATTTAAAAAACAAAATGAAAAAGTACTTTAATCAAAATATTGTCCATCGTTAGCGATGACTTTTTCCCATCTTTAGGGCACTAAGCGAATTCCGCGGAAAGAATGACTCATCTTTAGAGGCTATCCACTTAAAGACTCATTTTTCGACGTCTTCATAAGAATTGAAGTGTTCCTCTGCAAATGCGTGTGCCATTGATTGAAATAAGTGATAGTCGAAAGAGACACAGTCTGGTGTGATGAATAAGCCGCATGGGGTAGCACTTCCCACCAAAGTGTTTCTAACATTTCCTTGACAAGTTTTATGACGTGAAGCCGAGCATTGTCATGAAGCAAAATCACTTTATGCTGTCTCGTTTCATATTCTGGCCGTTTTCCATGCAATGCTCGGCTCAAACGGATAATTTGTTCTCGGTAGAAATCCCCTGTAACTGTTTGGCCAGATTTCAATAGCTCGTGGTACTCTATACCCTTCTGACCCCACCAAATACAGAGCATTGCTTTTTTTCCGTGGATATTCCGCTTTGATCAATGTCGATGTTGACCTGGAAACAAATGATTTTTCGGCGTTTGAGGCGAAATAGATCCACTTTTCATCGCTAGTCACAATTCGATGCAAAAACCTCTTTCTTTGTTGCCTAGCAAGCAGAATTTCGCAGATAGTTTTTCGCCTTTCAATGTCTCTTGGCTTCAATTCATATGGGACCCATTTTCCTTCCTTGTAGACCTTTCCCAAGGCTTTCAAACGATCGGAAATAATAGATTGAGCACAACAATTTAATGCTTCTGCAAGTTCTTTTTGACATGGATCTTCATCCACCAATGCCTGCAATTCTTCGTCTTTAAATGCTCTTGGCCATCCAGAACGCTCTTTGTCCACATCAAAATCAGCACTTTTAAAGCGTCGAAACCATTCTCTGCATGTTTTATCGGAAGGAGTACTATCACCATAAACTTCGACAAGCATTCGATGAGCTTTAGCTGTAGTTTTCTTCCATTTGAAACAAAAACACTTTGCGCAAATGATGCTTATTTGGATCAAATGTCGACATTTACAATGCAGTAAAAAGCAATGTTATTGATGCAAACGTATACTTTTATATACTAATTTTATTAACAGATGATAAAACTAAAAAATTAAGCTTGATTTAGATATTAGAATTATCGACAATTTTAGCTACAGCTACTCGCCGCTAAACGGACGGAACTTTCTGATTGATCTAATATGTTACTCCTTTTTCTGCAGAGCACCTTCTTGTAATAAACCCCATCATACATCTCGTATATTGGGAAGAAGATTTATACTGACACCTATATCTTACAAATACATCTGGATGATGGAATCGCTGTGAGACCTATGTACTTTGTAGAAATTGCAGTTGGACAATCGAGGTAACATCATAATCTTGTCTTATGCAATGTGACAAGCTTTCATCGAAAGACATGTGGATATTGAGCGATTCGTGCAGTCAACCTTCATCATTATACTATCCAAGATATTGTAATAGAAATCATAAAAATGCGTGATATGAATGTAGTAAACTGACACTGCGCGATACATATGAAGCCGTTAACTGTGCTCTTCATGTTTGAACATGAACATTCAAACTTACGCCGAAAATGTATACTCTGAGCTGTGTCAGTATATGCACATCGTCAATACAAGATTTAAATATTTTATAACACTTTTTTATAAAAATTGTATCATCGATAAGTGATGCCATAAATTTTTTGCGAAAAATTTATAATAAAAATTCAAATATAGAATATGAGTTAATTTATGCTTTAGATAATATTGTAAACAGTGTGAAAAGTAAATGTACATTTTATTGTTAATCGGAGGTGGGTGCTAAAAATTCGATTTTAAATTAGCTAAATTAAATTAAAGTTCCTGCTTAAGCATATTGTAAGAATTGTTTTAAATTTGTGGTTAGATTATCAGATTAATTGTACTGTTAATTGAAGAAGACTTTGTGAGTCGAAACATTTTAAATGTACAAGATTGAATGATATTGTATTTCAAATACCAATATTTTTATTGTATAATATTTATTGTGTAACAGATGTGAAAATATACGTGCACGAACTTTCAGCAATTCGACGATTAATTAAATAGGTATTGAAACGATTAATGAAATGAGTGCTTCGCGCTGTGCGTTTACTGAGCAAACGTTACAACCTGACGGCTATGGGCTACAAGTTAGAAATTGGAATCAACGTTGGTTCACCAAGTTACATGGAGATCGCTCTGAAAGATAATTGCGGACACGAACTGTCGCTGTCTCTCGAACCGTGGAAATGCCTCTACGAGTAACAATGGAATATTTACAAGAAAACGAATATTTGCTTCGAAACGAATACAAATACAATTTTATAAACGTTAGGCCGCTAACCGTCAGAGTTTGCACGCTGAATGATGCTACGCTCGTACGTCTCGATTCTTCGTCCGTACGTACGACAATGACCAAAACGATGCTACGCCGTATGTTTGGGTTTGACAGGTGTATCGATGTAACGTTCGATTAGCACGACTTGTCGATACGGTCAATATCAAATATACGTGACTCTCCGTGACTCCACATCGTGTCCAAAGCCGCTATACGCGATAGCATCTTCAATGGATATTAGCTCATCAATTGCAAACTATTAACTTTAGTGTTTAATACGTATGAAAAGAATGATGTAATAAAATGTGAATAAAAAATTTTTTGTTTACATCACTATATGTACTTTCTTTCCTTCCCATCCGACCTATCCTATGCCATATATACCTATCCGTTGTAAGAAAAAAGAACAAATAATAAGTATGAAAATAAACGTGCGCAATTCGGAGGTTAAATAGATTTTTTTTAATATCATTATGTTCACTACTTGGCAATGTCGCAATGCATCTCGATCTTTAACTTTTGTATCATTGTGCATACTATTTATATTTGACAACTTCGCAATTGTATCAAAATTACATTGATGATATCATCATTCAAACATGTGATCAAATGGTTTTCGGTGCAAAAAAAAGGCAAATAAGAGAAAACGACAACGCATCGAGAAAAAGATGGTAAGTATATGAGATAGCGCGCACGGCTGCAATGGCGGCGGCAGCGGCAGGGGTGCCCCGCACCCACCACAAAATGCGTGGCGTGTTTACGTAAACACTGTTACTGCCGGGACCTTCCCCGCGCCTACAAGTACCCCTCGTACCATCCCTTCCGCGCCAAAGAGTACCCAACACGCCCCGCATCCTCCTCAGAGAACCAGGCATCGAATCCCCCTAGTTATACTACTAATGTATCTTTTTACTATGTAAAACAAAAATTTTCTACTTTAATATATATTTGCTGCTTTAATAATAAAAGTTTTTTTGAAAACGTTATTTTCCTGTATAATTTTTGTTTTTATATAGTAACGCATAGAGACACGACTTTCTACGTGAAGCGATTTTCAATTTACCTCTTCTTACTTCAGAGTGTACGGGAGTTTCCACGGGAAACGACTTTTAAGCCACCTAAAACAGAAGAAGATGTGGGGTGAAATTCACTTCGCGTGGAAAGTCATGCGCTCTTTGGCAAGGAAGGAGATGGGATGGAACTCACTTCCACTTAATGGTGGATTACCATTAGATAAATAAGAAAGGATATAGAATAGTTTTTAATAATATACATATACAGGGTGGGGCAAAAGTCCCGCTACCATTTTGATTGCCTATAACTTTGTTCAAAGAAAAGATAAGTCAGTTTGGTTTTCATACAATGTTTATTTGGTCTTTACATTTTTTTTGCGTTATGATTAGAAAAGAATATCGGCTAAATGGTGACCGCGATTCGCTATGCAACTTTCGGCTCTTTTTAAGACATTTTTCATGACATCGTGCAACATCTCAGGCTGAATTTCTTCAATTGCGTGACGAATATTGTCTTTAAGATGTTGAATCGTTTGGGGCTTATTCACATAAACTTTTGATTTTAAAAAACCCCATAAGAAAAAGTCTGGTGCTGTTAAATCCGGAGATCTGGCTGGCCATGCTAAATCGCCATTTCGCGATTTAAATATTAAATATAAATATTGTCACTATTTCTGCTCGTTCTTGTGGCGTATATTTATCCATTATAAAATTTGGACGTCTACACAACACAACGGTTAAAGCTAAAGTGAGCTATACGTCACATAACCAAGATGGCGCGCAATCAAAATGGTAGCGGGACTTTTGCCCCACCCTGTATAGCAGAAACAAGACGTTATTTTTTTAGATATATTTTGTTAATAATTATTTAACGGTTAACAAGCGACGACTAAAACTTGTTGGAGATTACTCAGAGTCATAACCTTAACAATATATGTCAAGGTCATCAAAGAGGTCTCCCCTACAATAAACATTTACCCTCAAAAAATTATAGTAACAAATCAAAAATTATAAGTCTAGAAACTCATTTATTTTGCAGTGTTAAGGAAAGTTGAGAAAGAGAAAGAGGACCTTAAGAATGATTTGCAAGCTTCCCGTACCGAAATAAGCAACTTACGACAACAAATCGAAGAAATAAAAAAGGAAGAAAAGAGCCTCAGACAAACCATACATCAGGCAGATTTAGAAATCGTACGTCAGAAAAAAGATATTGATAACATTATGAATGAGCGCGACATACTCGGTACACAATTGGTCCGAAGAAATGATGAACTGAGTCTGCAATACAGCAGGATGAAGGTTTGACTTTTACATCTTTTGTAGAGAGATTATTATTGTAGCTTTTGTTTGAAATAAGTGTTAAATTTAATACTATAAGAATATTATATTGTATGGCTCCATAGAACGAAATTTAAATTAGAGTTTTTCGAGCCCGGCTAGTAATCATGTGCCGTATCATATATATTATTCTTAAATGTTATTTTAATGTAATACAATGTTTCAAACGTTTCAACCCTTAATATGGTCCTTTTCAATAAATAAAAATTATATATAAAAAACCGCATCCTACTACTTACATTAAATATTGTTGTTGATTGTGTCCGGTACTATTATATCATTCTTAGCTTATGTACTTCTTTGCGCGTCAATTATGTCTCATATCTTGGTATTTTTTTGTTCAAATTCGAATTGAGAGAGTAATTTGTTTCTAGACCCAGTACAATGCAAACTATCAAGATGATATTGTGCAGCTATACTATAATCGTATATGTTACAATATTATTATTATAAGTTTAATATAATTTTTTATAATATTATGTAGTCTGAATTGTTGATGTGAAATGATTGTATTATCTAGTATGTGATCTGATTACCTATGATTTCTTTGCCAACGATTTTTAGTGTGAATATTAAAACTAATAACTAACCTTTCTTGTTGGTTATACAGTACAGAATAACAATTAAGATGTACATATCTAATTGTCTTGTTGTCGATTAGTACAATGTGAGATAGTGGGAGACAAATGATCCAAGATAAGGAGGTAAGCGTCGAATAAATGTTTGGAGTGGCTTTATTTATTTAGATCAGTATTCGGAATTAGTTGCACGTTTCGGGCCGATTTCTGAAGCGCTATCTATTTTTCCCTGGAGAAAAGTAGGCTGTACTTTAGAAATCGGCTCGAAATGTGCAATTAATTCCGAGCACTGGTTTAAATCAATTGTTTGTTCTTTAATATATATCATTTCAGATCCCGTTCTTTTTATGTAAGATGGTTTATTGTCTAAGATGTGCATTATCCCAGTTTAATTCATTATTTTGATATAGAGTAACTAAATAGGTAATACACCAGTTGGGAAAATATGCCACTCCTGTTTAACAATGATATTGACTAGCAGCGCTTGTGTCAGTGCCAAAAAAATTATTTATAATTGTGTATTTAACATGTTGTATAAGTATTAAAAATTTTCTAACAACAGTATTGTTTTTATGAGGTAAATATGATGACATAGTATACGAAAATGTGTTTTTTATAATTTTTATAGTGTTTTATGTAAGTTATTGTTCAAACATTATTTAGCTCGATTATCTCATTAATCTATTAATATAGGTTAAAATGAAAATATTTAGTATATCGTTGATTTATTTTTTTAACAGCCGTATTATTGTACAGGCTCATCATAAGATAAAATGGTATCTTGAGGCAATATGCCACTACTTTTGTTAGGGTAAAATGCCAGTAGTCATTTTCTCTAATAAATATAAATTAGGACGCTAAAAACAAACATTTTGCTGCATAATCCCGTTGTGACAGAATATTTGTATTGACAAATAATAAATAAACTTAAATGTTTGTTTATTTAATTATTACATTATATCAATTTACTTCAATTTAAAATTCTGAATAAAGAATACAGTTTTTTAATCCATTTTAATGATTGAATTTCTTTGATTACTGGAAATTTAGACTATTTATAGCACTATGTAAATATAAATAAAGTAAAACAAATATTTATTTATACGTTTCATACTTACATATTACATATTTTTACTTCTAAAAATGATCCAAAATGTAATTAGATAATATCTATAATAATTGTTGCAGTAGATGGATTCACGAGGACTGTTTTCGAAAGATATATTTATGCTGTTAAAAACGTGTCTCAAAGTTTATCTTACAAGTTGAATAATTTAATCTATTGAAGTTATTACTTATATACAAAAATCCTAATAATGGTAATACTGGTAATCTAGTAAAAAAAATAGATGTATAATTAATTAAAAAATTTAATGTATATTTAAAATTAAAATGCCGTAAACGTTTCTAAAGAGTTTTCCTTAATATAAATCTAAACTTTCTTACAGTCTAATTAAAATTTCTTACATTCTAACGAACAGTTTAGTCAGCCATCCGTCTTCTATAAAAATTCTTTGTAATTTTTCAAAGTAATTTGTCATAACCATGCCAATCAAACAGATCCAATTCGTCAAGAGCAATCGAGACTAAATTCTCTTGTTTAATAGCGAGAATCGTGTTAGTCAAATTATGTGTTATATTCATCAAGATATAAAATGTTCTAGATTAATAGTAATTTTTATATGAAATTACAAAAAAATTAAAAAATGCAATTCGGAGTAATAATCGGATTAAAACTTACATAACATAGAATAATCTAAAATGCAATAACAATAATGTTTTTAATAATTCTTGGACCATGTTATGTATGTAACGTCTAAAGAATGATTAACAATAAGATCGCAAGCAGTTTTTAAATTATATTATACCTAACGAGATATTATACTTAACTATAAATAAGTGTATATGACTTATTACTACTGATCACAAAGTGAAGTGACTCATATAGGTAAGTCGCTATTGATTTTAATGTAACAATTCTTGTAATATACCAAAATATTATTCACACACATTTCATCTTTTTTCAGTTAATTCCGTTTTATTTTTGTTCTTTGATGTGAATCTCCATAATAAAGTCTCTTGTTGTAATTGTGTTCCCACACAGCACAGAACGTTGAAAGAATGTTGCTAAAATGTTGCAATGTTGAATATTAAAGTGTCAATGTTCTATCAATGCTGTATTTATATTCATTCTTGTTCATGTTGCTACAACATTAAAATAATATTGAATAAATCAAATCACAAGTTGAATTTTCATTGATTTTTCCACATTGATTATTAATGTTGCTGCAATATTGAAACGACATTGAATAAATTATATATCGAATCCTATTTTATAAAAAATGAACAAAAATATATATATATATATA